CCTTAGGGCTGGTTTCGAGTGACTCTGCCAAAATGTAGCTGCATTCCCGCCTTTAGTTATCTGCGAATATAGGATTTTGCTTTCAAAGTGAGAAACCCTAAATTTCTTAACCAGGGCCCGTAGTAAATCACCGAAATATGTCGTAATGTAAAGAAAGCCAGATTGCGAGGTGTCCGACTGAAGTACATGCCGCCACCTTGGTCGCCGCAGGACTTGCGCGCGCAGGCGCAATAACACTCTTTGATTATTGCGAACAACGCGCACTGACACTGCGCTACACATTTTTATGACTCATTTATAGAAGTGAACGAAACAATTGGGCAGTCCCTGCGACATCGTTCGAAATTCGATAAGCAAGCTTAATTATTATCATCCTTTATTTGTAAATTGTATAAGTATGCACTACTCCGCCATGTTCACGATAGAGGCGCTACCTAATTGTGTTCCCTAAGCAATTTTAGTAGCCCAGCGCCAATGTCGCACGCTCCGCGGTCCTAAGAGGGGAGGGTGGGGGATTCGCGTCCGTAGAGCAGAGGTTTTGTAAACCGCTTCATTAAACGTGTTTTTACGCAGTGAAACAAAAATGCATGTAGAATATAGGTGCAATTACATGGATGATTGTAGCCGTTTTTTGTGTATTATGTCATTAAAAGCTGTACTTAGGTAAATTTGTTGGGACATCGCTGCGCCGACTTCCTGGCGAGGAGGCTGAACGGAGAATTCTACACATCATGGCCGTGCTGACTAACATCAGTTTGAACGAGATTATTGATTACCGCTATCAGAGTCCTTACCAGCGATCGCCTTTGTAGGATGTTCCACATTTTGTATTTTGTATTACTACTACCTTACTTGACCTTACATTCCTCTCAGTGAGGTGCATCTTCAATAGTAGTTGCGTTGGACTCTTTCTTTTTTTCGCATTTTGTCCACCACACCATATTCTGTTGGTAGATGACTAAGTTGTTTTTTCTAGCCTATTGAATCTTACCTCAGTCACTAAAACCTCGTACACTGAATTGTAGCTTTCCACACGCCATATATATCCATGACATTCATTCATTTGGTGATGCTAACTTCAAAAAAAGCACAATTTACTACTTCGGTAGGTATGAAAGTTTTCGAGATGCTTTCCGAAAATGTTATGGGCTAAATTTAACTACTTTTCTAAAAGAGGCACGGCTTTCGATTTCGGCCAATAGCGAAGTGAGTGAAGCGGATCAAATGGATGAAGTATGGTTTCTGCAAATGTGCCACAATTTTATAGCACACCTCATGTCGCTATTACGTCAGGACTTCGTGATACGTGAAAGTTTTCGCGGGCGAAGTTTTTTCGTGTAACACGTGGTGACAAAAGCGGCTCTTCAGCCAAGAACACAGAGTTTGTGAAAAAACTTGAAGTAGGATTGTGCAATCCCTACAGAAAGGTGAGCTACATTCAGAGATCAAAATTCGTATAATACACAAGTTCCCTCTTAGCAAGGTACACAAGCTTCGATAGCGAGCCCAAAGAGGTGGACCCAGCAACATGCCAGTCATCCAGTATTTACTTTGCGCTGCTTGTCACAATGGAAAATGTTTTTTAGCGTCGAGAGTGTCATCTGTCCCGGTAATAGGTATAAGCAATAGCGTCTCTTCTTTGTCTTCTTTTGAGGGGAAAAAACGTTGTCAGACGATGGTAAGCGCCAAAAAATTTTTTCCCTTACCAATTGCTCTTCCAGATCGGAGTGCAGTTTGGATGACTGCGGATGAAGTAATGGCAAAGCTGGATAGTATGCATGTAAAGTTAGCTAGATGGATAGGCCGGAAGTACCGAGTTTGTAAAAACCCCTTTGTTGAAATTTGTAATCCCAACCCAAAGATGAGCTATATCCAGATCGAAGCTCGTGCAATATACGAGCTCCCTTTTAATGCGAGGTATAAAAATCTGGTATCGAGACTAATGAAATGGATCACCGGGATACGAACCGTCCAGCAACTCTGCAAAAAGTCTCACTATAGAAGAAGCATGATCTAGTTTCGAAGGTGTTATCTGTCCTCGTAATGGGGATAGCAATCTTTGTTGTCTTCACTTTAAAGGAAAAAAACTATAAGACGATGGTATGTGCAAGATATGTTCTTTCCTCACCGACTGCTTTCGCAGACATCAATGCAGTGCGCGGGCAGATAAAGTACATCAGATCGTATGCAGATAGAAGGCGGGTCCACGCATGTAGGTTGGTTTCATATCTGAAGCTGTGTCCAAGGGAAGGGAGAAGCATTGCTGGCAAAGAGACTGAGCACAAATTTTGCAAAATATGGCGGTGCTTACTAACATTGTACTAATGAAAACACTGTTTATCGCTATGAAAATCCTGTTTTTTTCTAGTCGGTCGAATCTTACCTCAGTAGTTGAAATTCTTGAAGCTTCTTTACGCATCATCTTTATCCATTTGATCCATTCGATCAGTGATGCTACCCTCTGTTTAACACCTTGACGACAACGTCACCCACAAGGCAAATGACTGAAAATCCGTGTTGTCGTCAACGTGGTAAAAAGGGATAGGATGGATAGTGTGGATACATTTGGCATGTGTTTACATTGCGGTTGTTGAACCTTTGCTTTTAGTCTTTGATCAACTCAGAATGTTTCTTTTTTTGCTTTTTTGTTATGTTAGATACCTCAAAATGCGCCTTTTTATTGTTATGTTGATTTCAAGGGCTTCTTTACTGATTTTTACGTCAAAAGGGACTATGTAAATTTCCCCCAGTCATGGGGGACTTCGTTCTCAAAAATGCTCCCAACCAGTGCGTGCCGGGCCCGTTGGCACGTTATTGCGACCCACGAGCATGCGCAGAAGGGAAAAGGTCGACGCGAAAAATAGCCTGTCTTAGGCACGATTGAGAGCTGGAGGGCCCAAATGCTTTAGGTAGAATTATGCTGGAGCTGTTATGAAGACCATTTGAGTCTTTGAGGGAGTACCTGTAAAAGTAGCCCCTGTAGTTTTCCCAAAAAATTTGAAAAATCAACCATTTTTGCCCCAGAAGAGCACGATTTTTTGATTAACTTTAGAGTTTGAGTGAATTTAGAGTCTCTTCTATTTTGTCCAAATCGTTGGTTACTGCAAACATTGTTGGGTAACGCCTTACACATTTTTTGAATCCTTCATTCAGCGTGACGATCCCCACAGAAGCGACGTCAGTTGAAATAATTGCAGTCGGAGGCAAATTCGACGACTTGTAACTTCTGAGCGCAAATCGGAAAACTCGAGTGCACTGGGATCAGAAGTGGACAGGCTTTTCATTATGATTACCCATGATTTGGACCAAAATCCCTGGACTGCACAGAAAAAATGGCAGAAGGAAGAAAAATTATGAAACTTTTATGGTTGGAAAGTTTTTTATGTGCACATCAAACACGACCTGATCGATAAAAATCAGAAACGGTTCTGAAAAGTAGACGCTTCCCTCTAATAGTATAAAATACTTGGCTAAAAGTCCAACCGAACCAAACGTGCCGGGAACTTTTTTCGCAACCCAATAATTTGATTTGGTCGAAAGCGATTAATTCATAAAGAAAAGTGAAGGATTTCTGAATGTCGTCAACTCCAACACACCTTTGTGGTATTCATGTTAATACTTTAAAAACATAGCATTTTGATCATTTACGAATTGCACATCTGTGGTGCAGCTTTGATAACATTGAGTAGTAATACAATAGTAGTTTTGCGAGTACAGCGTCTAATCATACCGGCGCAGGTGCTTACAAGTCAACCTGGACATCGTTGGGAAAAAGGTAATTCATTGTAAGGTCCGGGACACAAAACTGAAAAAAAATCCATGTACAAGCTTAGTATGATGTACATGGAAAAGTCGCCAATTGCTTCGTCCAAGAGTAGAGCTTTGAGAGCTAGGAAAAATTCTCAGAAAACCCTCTTTCACGCATGGCAATCTAAGGTCATTATGTAAAGAGCAGAAAAACTTCGAGGAGTTGCAGAAACACGCCTTAGCCCAAAGAATTTCTTTTTTCCCCCTTACAGACAAAACTCATGCCATCGCCATCGTTACATGTGGCATACAAGACATGCTCCCAACTTTCATCCTCCCTCCCCCCCCCCCTCCCACAGTACTCCCCTTCGTTTATTTCATCTCCTCATCATCTAGAGACTTTACGGATGCTCAGCTCTGTCCTATTGATCCCATTTTCAACATTCAACAATTTTCTGCTTGAATTCGCTTTTCGTGCAAAAGCGGAATTTAAAATGTACCCCCGTATAAATAAAAATCTTGTTTACAGTGAAGAGGAAGCGATATAACATCGAAATTGATGTGTATATGCGCGATAGCGGGTGGGAACCATGTATGAAAAATCATGAAAAATTATAAGAACTGAAAGTTGAGCAAACTTTTCTCGGAGTAAGGTGGCTTATAAGCTATCTGGCAAGGCACTTGAGATGGCTCAGAGTAAATAGTCAAACTTCAGTTTTTTCAACATTTTCTCACTTTTTTCGCCTAATATATCTACATTAAAAACGCTACAATGCAATTTACAAAATCTCTCCCACCTCCTCGCATTGGGGGGGGGGCAATCTTGTTTTTCAAATGCTTGTGGGTGTGCGCCTCACACAGCATGTTTCCAATTTAGAGAATACGAGCATTGTTAATTTCTTTATCGCATGTTTATTGTTGTTTTTGTATTCTGTTCTATTCTTTTTGCTAATCATATTTGATTTATTCATAAGCATCTTATAGATGCCACATTTTTGTTGCGGCATCAACACTCTGTTTCCAAAAATTGCCGGGGCCTTCGTGCCAAGCCCAGGCAGTCAGTGTCGGAAAATCAAGATACGAATATAAATGAAATTTAAGAAAAGTAGCATTTAGAAACGTTTGTGAGAAAAGTAAGGTTCCAAGAATTTTCTATGTAATTGTTTACTCCACCGAAAAATCATTAATCTGTGGTTGTTGATAATTTTTGCCGTTAAGCAGCGGCGAAAACGGCTCTTGTTTGCGTCAGCTAAGTCACATTTTAGCTTTATTTCGGTCGATACAGCATGGATGCATCAGAAAGCAACTTTTCTTAAACATTGTACAAAGATGCCTGCAAAGATTTATCACAGTTACTCAAACGATAAGCAGTTATACCAATCGTCAGAAGTGCTTATTGTTGGTGATATCACCACATCGGAAGCAAGTTGGCAGTAGTTTCCGTCGCAGGTAAAGCCTGGGTTCGAACAAGTAAATCCCTGGCTGTTAGCAGTCTAAAATACTTTGTGAAAAAATTTTTTGTTACGAATTGTTAATGTCTGTCTGTTGTCTGTTAATGTATACCTCGATATCATTGGCGGTGACCACTTCCTGTGCTGGGTTTAGAGCTGCTAACAGCATGTTGCGCAGATTGATATCAACACAGAGCATCTTGCGGCATGGCATAGGCGGCGGGAAGACTTTCGCACTGTAAAAAAATTGGCTTCATTTCGTTCACACTTAATCAAAAGTCAAGATCTTTGCCAGAAATTATGGCTGCTGTCTCCTCTTTTTTGCAACATTCCTATCACCTTTTCAAAGCAACTATAACACGTGTGAATTGGACCACACCAATTTAAGATAATCTTTTCCTGTCAAACTGTTCTCAGTTCAGTCACGTTGACCCAATAGTGTACGGAATGTGAAAGTGTGTGATGTTGCGACTTTCTAGGCTTTGTAGAGAAAGGTTTGCCCTATCAGAATACATCTTAGCCGTACCGATCCATTGAAATAGCGCCAAGATCCAGGGTATTGAAAAAGCAGGTAAAAAAGCGCTTTTTGAATTTCAACAGCTCATAACGTCTTCAGAACTGCATGAATCATGTTGCGACTTTATAGGTTAGATTCCTCTCATCAAGAACTTTCAGATGATATATAATGTGCGGGGGTTAAAGGCCTTCTACACTTATGCCCGGGGGGGGGGGGGAGAGACTTTCATCACAAAGTCTCCCCCCCCCCCCCCCAGCCCACTTTAATGTATTGGATGGAGGCCCCTGGCAGCATCCATCCTTAAGCCCCCTACCTCTTAAACTACTATATATCATCCGGCCTTGAGCCCCCAACTCCTTAAATTATTAGATATCATCTGAAAGCTCTTGATGAGAAGAATACCCATAAAGTCGTAACAAGATCATGCAGTTCTCAAGAAGTTATGAGCTGAAGTTCAAAAAGCGCTTTTTTACCTGCTTTTTCAAGACTCTGGATCTCGGCGCTATTTCAATGGATCGGTACGGCTAAAATATATTCTGATAACGCAAATCTTATTCTAGAAAGCCTATAAAGTTGCAACATCATACACTTTCACATTCGAAATTTATATGAGTTTAACTGTCAGCGTCTCTATACAAGCTAAAATGGCTAATTTTTTAGAATTCTGGTTTTCGGCGACTGTCTCTTAAATCGACTCGATTTTTCCACTACCTGTTACAGCACTTTACTCTTTAAAACCTATAAAGTCGCAGCTGCTGACATCTTCAAGCACCAGATTTATAAAAGTGGAAAATTCGCATGATTTTTTCTTTCTTTATTATTCAAATGAAATCTGTGAAGTCTCGCTGAGTTTCACTTTGAATACACTATACTAAACACTTTTATTTTGAATATATGTGCCGCCGTACACATAAAAATATTTTCAATGATCTTTTCTTGCGTTTATTTTGCTTATTTTCCTTCATTATCGTTCAGCGAAAAAATCTTTTATTCCAAAAATGAAGGTGGTCACCCTGTACCAGCTCAAAAGTGAAGGTAGGGGAAGAATCGGCTCCCACTATCGTACCTCTGGTATAGTTGCAAAACTTAGTTAACAGCCTAATACTACGGTAATAGAAGCCACTGAATTCGAATATGAAACATCCACTTTAATATGATGCTTTTTTCCTAACTTACCCCAGGTAAACTGTGATAACTGAATTCCCTTTATTTATCAGAGATGTGGGATCAGCTTCGAACGCTGATTTCACACTCGTAAAAGTTATATAGTGAAATCAGCATGCCTTTTAGATTGTTTGGAAAAAAATTTTCGGATGGCATATTTCACAATGGTTCCATGTGCTGAAATTCTTAGGTTCTCCTATAGTAACGAACAAAGATCGGTGATTCCATATTATAAACCTAGGCTGAACTTCGCTCAAAACAATCGTAGCTAAAGATCGCCGAAAGACATCAAAGCAAGGAAGTTATCAACGATCGTACAATGTGCACATTTTTTTAAACACTCTGTATGTATAATCGGTACTTTCCCATTTTTTCAAAATGTTCTCATAAAACACGCGCTTCAAGGTATAAATTTTTTTTCATAGGTCTTGTTAGGACTGTCTCTTTGCCACGTGTCAAGATAGAAATTAACATTTGACTCGTTTCTTTAAAATCATTTCCGGTAGGGTGCAAGTATTTGAAATAGCTCGAAAGCTGTTTAGGGGTCGTTTATAAAAGCAAATCAGTCTTAAACATTTACCAAAACATCTTGGTAGCTTTCAGCAACGACCTAAGGAAATCCCGCACTTCACATTATTTCCGCCATGCGAATTTAGCTGGGAAAGAAAAACGATCGCTTGAAATACCTAGATGCCGATTTTTCTTCGTTTAGACAATGTATAACAAAAGCCCACTTCTCTGCTTTTTAAAATCTAATGTGTTTAGTAGACACAGAATGTCATTTTCAAAATGTTAAAGCACATTCATGAAGCTTTCGACTAAAAATGGGGTCATTATTGAATCAAAACAGACTAAACTTACATTGATGGGTTGGCTAAACAAACTCTCGGTAAAACCTGGTAAACCTTACCTGTACCTTTGAATGACATGTCATTTTTCACACTTGGCAGGAGGTTAATTACCTATTCTGTTAGGTTTTTATCAAGTTTCGTACAAAGAAAGATGCAATACACTTTTTCAAATAATGGGTCCGGTTAAAAGAAGAGTACGGCATGATCTTTGACCTACTGGCACTACGATATGACCATCTAAGTGCTGATTTACTGGTTAAGTTTTTTCTCAATGACAAAAGACTCCATCTGATATTATTCTAGTAGCGCAGACTTGAAATCTAAAAACACCACAAAAATTGAATCCGATCCAGGTGTGCACGAATTTTACTAGCTAGAAAGAGGAGCTCAAACTTATGTATATAACTGTGTCAGTCTCTGCTGTGATGTTTGAAGTTTTTTTTGAGCATGCTCAAAAATAATAACACTGAAGCGATTCTCTTCTTGGTTTCTAAGGTTTGAAACATCTCATAAAAATTCGCGCAAAAGGTACTACAGGAATGCGCAAAGTTCTCTTTATCAGTTATTACCATCGAAAATCCACCTGCTTGAAAAATGTCATTCCTGAGTAATTACGTTCAATGTCTTCTATCTCTCCAACTTTTCCGTACTATTTCAATGGAAGCCAGCTGCTGTAAAGAGCTTGATCTGTGCGTTTAAACAAATCCACATCCAAAAAAATTCATCATGATGAGAAGAAGTGACGTATTTTTGCTTTGCGGCTCAAAAACTTTCGGGAAAAGCTAATATGATCATAGTTTTGGCTACATTCAGCCTTGTGATTATATTACAAATGAAGGCAACAATCCTTTCTTATAAAAACTCTTTTTTCGCCTCGAGGGCAATTTTGGAGTAGCCTTCAAAGCTGCGGTCTCTGCTTATCCCATTCTAAATAGTTTTCAATTCTTACAGTTTCCCAGTGCCAAAACTCAAGTGCGGCACCTTTAACGAGAAATTATAAAAAAGGTTGTGGAACTTACAAGGGAAGCTACCTAACTTAGCTCGGCCTTTTGGCAAGGTACATATATATTCTGAATCAGCTTCAGACGCTGATTCCAAATATGCCATTCCTAGCTGCCGAGCACCATTCTGAACCGAGTTAAGGACTTTTTCCTGCGCGAAATTGGCATACTCATCGACTCACTGGCACCAGGGCATCATCACCTAAGTGCTATTACACTTGCGTTTGACTGCTTTTTACTGACTAAAGATTGGATTTGTGTTATTTCGACATCTCAGCACCTTTTTCTTGCAGATTTTCATCTACAGACAGTCTTCCCATAATCTGTAGTATGCCAATTTTGCGCAAGAAATTGCCCATAACTCGTTTCGGAATGGTGCTCGGCAGCTAGAAGTAGCATATTTGGACTCAGCGTTCAAAGCTGATTCAGAACGTATATGTCCCTTGCCAAAAGGCCGAGCTAAGTTACCTAGCATTCCTTATTAGTTCAAAATGATGTTTTAAATTTTAGATCCTACTCAGATATAAGTTATGAAATGAAGTTTCACCATTTTCATGTTTGGCTAAATTCTCGGGCAGTGCTTCTTTATCATCACAAAGAGATACCTTTTCGGTTTCACTGCGACGCGTAGGTACTGGTTTTGCACACTCCACTGCAAAGCAGCCATTCTGTCAAAGTCAATAGCGCTGCCTTTTGCGCGCTTTTTCAATTTTTGCAGAATAGGATTCAAAAGCACTTCTACTGCACTGTTCACCTTAAACAGATGCTTTAAACATGGTTTGAAAAACGAAGCAGCCTACCTTTTTGTCTATTTGTTTTTCTGCATTATCTTTGATTATGTTTGTTGCTGTTTTGTCGAAAAACTTCTCTGCCACTTGCCAATACCACGCTTTTGGCCACCTGATACTTGGTCTTAAACTTATTCTCGTCGAAGAGCGGAAAGCAAAATCTGTCCAAGTCAAGTCGATATCCGCTGATGCCGAGCTCGAATAAACTCTGCAAAAAGATAATTACGACAACCGCATATTTTAGTTGTGGCCACTATGTAGCTGGGTGTGATGCAAGGGGAACGATAGCATATGTCTGCCGCTTCTGCCGGTGCACTATTTGCTTTAATACATTTAAAAATGAGTAAAGTCCAAAAAAACTCTTCAATCAATAAGCTGCTCAGATTTGCTCGGATCTCTGCAGTGAATGCAGTTTGGTAACGCTTTTGTAGGAAAAAACGTGAAATTCTGAAGGTTTCATTTTTGAAACCCTCTTTTGACATTTCTAGCTTATTATCACACCCCATTTCCAAGTAAACAAAATCAATCTAATTCTGTCTAAATAAAAGCATAATAGAAGGAAATGTTCTAATTTTCCGCGTGTTGATAGCCAAAAATATGGTGAAAGATGGGCGACTCATTGACACCCACCAGCTATCGTTCCTCTTGCTCGCCGCCCCTACTAGCTACACGTCTGCTCTTTTCGTGGAACATGCACCCGTTAGGTAAGCCATCGGTCATACCTTTGGCGACTCCATCGTAGCGATTCTCACCGCTGGGGCATCGAATGCCTCGGCGTCTAATCGTTTCGGGATAAATCGCATGCCGCTCACTCACGGCATACCTTTCACTCGTAGCTCAAACGTCACGCCCAAACGAACGCAAACATTATTGAGTTTTTTTGTCTGATCTCTCACTCCCTTTCACGCACTTTAACGAAGTTGCAGTGGAGACGAATTTCGGGGAGCCATGGAATCTGCCACTTCGCTTCCAAGCCCTGGAGTTACTTCAAAGGTTTGTGCACAACATGTCATACTAACTAAAGACGTGAAGTGTACGGCCAAAATAGCACGTCGCAGTTTCAGTTCTCACTTAGTGTATATAAGCAACAAACTAAACAATATACGACGCTTAGAATAAGAAAAGATGTGCTGAATGGAAGATATCGCCCGTCGCTGGTGCAGAATCTAAGGCCTAAGGCATACCTCACGCGATTCCAGTCGGTGCGCGATCTGGCTTTGCAACGATCCTTTATAAATAGTCGTAAGCGCGTCTTGCTGGGGTCAGACTTGCTGTGTTTGCTACAATTTACGGAATTCACGCGCCCATGCATTTAAGATCCGGTCGCGATTAATCAGTAGACATCTGGCAAATCGCCAAGTCGCGTGGAGGTAGCGGTTTTGCGAAATCGCGCGAGGTATGCCTTAGGCCTAAGGCATCCGTTATACCTCGTCGCCGCGCGATTCCTAATTGCTACGATTGTTCATAATCTTCGGTGGGCGCAAACTCTGAGAGCAAAATTTAGTATGTACGCACAGGCTTCTAAAAGCTCGCAAAGTGGTAAAAACCCTATCCTTCAATTTCAACCTGACATCTATCGGGAAACTGATTAGTAACGTGCAAAATAGGAAGCCCACGGCTTGAACTTGATTATGTACATTCGCTAATCTCCACATTAGAATGAGAGATACAATACTTATGAAAAGATTCGCAACCTACTGTTTTATTTTGTTCACCATGAGCCGTCAACAATTACCATAAACGACAAACTATCAAACGCAAATTAAGCAAAAAGACAACCCTGTTTTTCTTTGGATTTACAGGCCCAAAACCATATCAGAGGTCATGTTTTTGCCGCTATAACTATTGGCAACGATATTTATTCATTTCTTGGGCTGACGTTTCGGCAGCTACGCCTTTTTCAGACTCAAAAAGTCTAAAGACCGTTGTAATCTGTACCTCAAGTGCCGCTTCCGTACAGACTCACCAAGTTTTCAGAGTGACAGTGACAGTGAGGGCAGAGTTCACCACATCTCCTGATTCCTATCACAAGACAAAAGTTACGATTCTGTTGCATGCGATCATCTTGCATTTCGGCTGTGATAGTTAGTCACGATTGGTCGTGTTGGAAAACTATCACAACCGAACTGCAAGATGATCGGCATGCAATAAAATCGTAAATGTTTTCTGATAAGGATCGCGGCGATGAAATCGCGTGAGCTTGCCCGAGGCTTAAAAGCAGTGTTCGAGCAAAAACTCGATTTTGAGATTTTGTGCTTACCCGAGCCTCGCTATGCTGAATTCGATAATCTACACTGGAGAGCGCAAAAACGGCAAAACTGGACCCTGATACAGGAGGGAAATCAGCAGGTGGGCGGGGTCCTCCTCTCTGTGAGTTCACGCTCCCAGCTTCCTGAGCAACTTTCTCGGTTCCGGTTTCAAGTCAAGCGTTCGCATTTGGCCGGCAGCGATGTCAGGGCTAGCGGAATCGAGAAGATCGCTCTGGAAATCGGGAGCGTGAATTCAAAGTGGGGAAGACCCCGCCCACTTGCTGTTTCCCTCCAGCGCTAGGGCCGTTTTTCGCCGTTTTCGAGCTTTCTAATGCGATTTTCAGGATTCAGTGAGTAGGCCCAGGTAAGCATAAGATCTCAATATCGAGTTTCTGCCCGGACACTGCAAGAGTAAATAAATGGAGGATAGGAGAGACAAGCACTAAGCTAATGCTTACCTTGGTAGAGAGTGCTGGCAGACCGCCTACAAGGCCTTACGGTACATCAGAGTTTAGCTTAAAAAGCCTAAGAGTTCAGATAATCCTTGTTGCCAATCCTGGTTTTAATTCAAATACTGATGTAAAGGTTCAGTCATTTGCTTCTAACAAGGCATGTCAGGCAACTTAGAATGCGTTTCGAGATGAGAACATATAACAATGCATAACAATGCATATATTTAAAATCAGCTTTATACGCTGACTCCAAATATCCTGTTTCTAGCTGCGGCGCATTATTCTGAAGGAAGTTATGAGTTTTTCCTTTGCGAAATTGCCATACTTTTTGATATAGGGCTGCCTGTAGATGGAACTCTGCCTAAAAACAGTCCTGGGATACTAATTTATACTAGATTGAGTCTTTTGATAATTCACAAGAGACTTTATGCAGTCAATTAGCCTTTAGGTGATGACACCGTAATGTCAGTAGGTCAAAGAGTATGCAAATTTTGCACGGAAGAAAATCGATAACTCGCTTCAGAATAATGTGCTGCAGGTAGGAATAGCATATTTGGACAGGGTCTGGAGCTGCTTTCAAATATATGCTTCCATCTCGAAACGCAATTTTAAGCTACCTGACATCCCTTGTAAGATCTATGAAAGCCTTGATAAAACAAGAAAGAAAAAAATGAGTGTTCGCCGTGCTGTTTTATTCACGAGGACTAATGCTGAAGATTAGAGTAGGTCAAAGGCAGCTCCACCCTAATTTAGTCTTGAGCTTTTTAGCTGTTTGTAATACTAGGACCCCCTATCAAGCCAATGTCCAAGCCGCGCGCAAAATGTCGGTTCGGACACAAGAAAATCGCTTCGGGATAGCAAAGATACATGAGAATCCCATGGCAATGCCCTCTCGAGTAATGCCCCCCCCTCCTCCTCCTCCTCACCCGTGCGCGTCCGTCCAATCACCATTCCGGAAAACCGGCCTGCGGGTTTTCTAAAACGGGAATTTCTGAGTATTCGGGATTCACAACTTCATATTCGGATAGCCTTTTGAAAGAAACACATGTGCAGTGTGTCTCAAAAGGTGACTACACACTTTTTAATCAGTTCTAAATCTCTTTCACCAAAGTATTTTGCTCAGCTCACACACCATTCAACACAGCAGGATTCGGCTTAGATTTACAGTATGGAGCGAGATCATCTGACGCCCTTCTTTACTGTAGGATTTTTGGGAAATCAATGTCTACATGTTGCCCCAAAATAGATATTCAACGAGTTAAAAATTTTACCATTTGGCTAAACTGAGTGCTGATTATGAATATGAATTTCGCACTTTACCTTAAGATTTTTGGAAGTTATGTCAGGCAAACCGCCGCAGCGTTCTGCAGCGCTTTTACAAATGTGATTGCATTATTTAAAACTCTTGAAAATTCGTAAACAGTTGTCTAGTGAAATCAGCATGTTTGAAAGCACTAACACAACTTTCCAGATTTTTTGGAACATTTATTTTCAAAGGACTTAGTCAACAATGGTGCTGCATGCTAGAAGCTCCTACCGTACTCCTACAGTAATGAAGGGAGACGGGTAATGCTCCATACTGTAAATGCAAGTTGATGCCTGCTCCACTGAATGGTACTCGAGGCTACGCTAAAGACTTTGTGGGAGGAGAGAGAGCTATCAAACATCAAAATGTGTACTTACTTTTGAGACCTCCTGTATATTTGGAAAACGCTGATTTCACATATGCTCCTAAGTGCTAAGCTCATGCTGAAGTGAATCACGGACTTTTTTTGTGTGTAATTGACATATTACTCAAGATAGATGAACAACCTGCAAACAGAAATTTGATCGGAATAAAAAGCCAGGATATCGTAATATTACCAAATCGGGTTTTTTTTACGTTGATGAGAAAAATAGTGTAAATGAGTAAGCCTCTGAATATTATCACCGTGATATCTCTGAGTTGATGAGCTTGAATCTGCACAAAAAAGAAGTTAATGACTCACTTCATAATGACACTTAACAGCTAGGAACAGCGCACCTAAAATCATCGTTTTGAGCTGAGTCTAGATACATATATTTATATGTGTCTGTTTCTGAAACCCTGTTCAACCACTATCGTTCCCTTAACAAATCTGCACAACACAAAAATACTTCTGCTTAACTTACTACAGGACTTCCTCGAAAGTTCCGCGCTTTGAACGGCAAGCTGATGCACTCCATACTTGTATCAATTGTATGACGTCATAAAATACTCGCCTTATTTCAATCAGGTACCTTTTAGTGATTGCCGAATAGCGTTAGGGGCTCAAACTTGAAACCCGCAAAATTCCAAAAAGATTTTTTTTATCAAGATTTAGGATATTTGCCAGGTCAATATACGAAATCTTATCTCGTTTCCTTAAAAGGCGCCTCCCCAGCAATCTCACGCCCATGCAACTCGTGGATTACGTGAGCTGCGGGATCTCTGTGCTAATGGCCAGATCAAAATTTCCACCAGCGATAAGGGCGGAGAGTTTGTCATC